TGCTAACTTATAGAATACTGTGTAATTTTTTTGAAAAAAAATTTAGGTGGCAAGCGATAGATTATGCGCGATTAAATTACAGCACTGTATCCTTTTTCAACTTCTTGAAGCCGGAAACAGCTGCATCGCGGTGGAATCGTGTCAGTTTGAATGCTTCAAAGGTGTAAAAAAAAATGATTTCTTCCTGTAATTAATTAAACAAATTTCTAATTTTTAGGAGGAGGATAAAGCCAATAAGAATGAACATTTGGTCGTGTTACGAAAAAGACATCAATTATTTAATTTGCTTTTGACTAAATTGTGGCCAGGTGGGCAAGGGTTTGTCTAAAGATACCAAGGCACAAAAGTTGGCTTTTCAACACTGGATTGAAGCTGTGAGTTACTCTTTTCTGGGCCGGAGTTTTAAGTACCAATTCTTAATTGCAAGCTATGTTCTATTGATATTGGATACTATCTGCTTTATTTGATAATGGCTCTTTGATTATGAGAATTTTATGTAGTTGGATTTCATTTGTGTGTTCTTAATCTAGATTGATCCGAGGCACCGATATGGGCACAGCTTGCATCTTTATTATGAAGAGTGGTGTAAGACTAATGCTGGTCAGCCCTTCTTCTACTGGTGAGAAAACTTTGAATTAATTGGATGCCATGAATTTCTACTTTGAGTGTCCTCTGATATTTTCTAGGGTCATAGTTCTTTATTGAAGCAGGTGAAGCATATGACGTTTTGTGTATAGTTCCTGTTAATGAGCTGAGAGGACTGAATGCATGATCATGAATATTTATGTATTGATTGTAAACTTATCTTGTAAGTTTCATGATAGTTTGAGAAATTTCTATGAAAAATGTGAATGAAACTTGTATCAGTGTTCGTTCCTTTCCAAGTCCGTGGTAGTAGGGCAGGATTATTATGAAAGCAAATCTATAAGAACTGATCTAACTAGAGTTATTAATTTCCTATCATCTAGAAACTAAAGCAGATAGAAACCAATATATGTTTTCTGTTCAGGCTGGATCTAGGAGATGGAAAAGAAGTTGATCTCAAAGAGTGCCCAAGATCAAAGCTTCGTCAACAATGCATCAAGTATCTTGGACCTGTACGTGATCAAAATTTCATTCCTTTCTGCAAGGCATTTTTTTCATTTTTCTGTGCTTACGTTAATATAAATGACTTGAAGCATCCACGATAAGATATTAGAACATATAAAATGCTCAGTAGTTACTGATGCAGCCACTGTAGTTAATAATGCTACCTTTATAGTGGCATCATGACTATATTTCTACTCTTATTATTCTTTCTAAAAAACTTATTCTTGGTTCTGACTCATGTTTTAAATATGAAGTTCTAAATTTTTATTTATCTTTGCTGTGGTCAGCAAGAGAGAGAACTTTATGAATACGTTGTTGTTCATGGAAAAATATTGCACAAACAAACTGGAATACCTCTTGATACAAACAATGGATCACTGGGGTTGAAATGGATATTCGTGATGAGCACCTCTAAGAGACTTTACACTGGAGAGGTAAGTCCCAAAACTAAAGATTACTGGTATAATCTTTCTTTTCACTCTCATCTTAAAAATTCTTATTCATTGCCATCTCTACATTCTAATTGCCTCAGAAAAAGAAAGGATATTTCCATCATTCCAGCTTTCTTGCTGGAGGGACTACTTTAGCTGCCGGGAGGCTCGTTGTGGAAGATGGAGTACTTAAGGTACTTTTTTGGTATTTTTCATTATCAAAATCTGTTGCTTTTAAGACAGATCAATCTTTTGCATAATATAAGACGAAGTTTTATATTTGGTTCTGATTTGTATAATGTTTTATCACTCTAAATTTCACACTGGACTCAATTCTGAGTCCCTAGATTATCTAGTGCTTGTACTTTCTTTCTAGTTGACAAATCACAGACTAAAAGTTCTTATGAACACCAAATTATGCTGAAAATTGACAATGCAAATATAAATGTTGTTATTATTATTTCAATCTGATTCCCTGACAATCTTGATTATTTTGCTTTGACTTTGTTGAAGCAAGTCAATCACTATACTTTGAAGTCCAAAGCATGAAACCTATTATTAGCCACATTGAACAAAATCCTGCTTGATTTCCATTTTAGATTCCTGTATACTGGTAGAATCCCAGAATTTGTTTGTGATTTGTCAACGGAAAATTAATTGATTGATATTTGTAATTGTTTATTTTTGTATTGGAAATAAAGAACTGAATGTAATTGCAACTGAAAGAAATGAAACTTACAATAGTTTGTTGAGCTTTCAAGAGTCTCAACTCTCTCCCAATTGACACCATAATTTCTGCCTAACTGATCCTACTTCCCACCTCTTTATTTGTACTTTGATCCCTATCAGTTCTACAAAATCCCCGTAAAACCACTCCTCTACTTTAACTAACTGAATGGAAATATTCACTTGCCATTGGGGAGTATCACATACTTAGACTATGAACTTTCATGTTAATGATGCTGGCTTGCAGCCGCCATAAACTGCTACCACCTCTGATGCTCGGACTATTCGAAATGGTTGTAGTACTCGTGTCGGACACGACAGAACACAACATGTGTATGGGTATGGGATATGTGTCAGAACCTCCAAATTTCGACCAGACACTTTGCCCTTTTTTGCTTTTTCTTTATTTTTCTTCTGCCTTTTTTTTTCTTTCCCTTTTCTTTCCATTTCTACACTCTATAAACCTAGCGCCGCCTCCGAGAGGATGAAGATAGGCGACGGCACTAGATTTTCCTACTTCTTTCTTTCTTTTTTCTTTCCCTCATCTTTTCTTCCTTTTTCATTTTTTCCCTCTCTGTATCGGTGGTTTAGAGTTTTGCTTGTATAAAATGAAAATGAGTTCCATATAATACTACTTAGCGCTCCATTAAATTCAAATTGTAATCAAGTCCTTCATTTTCTTATATAACATTTTAGTAGTTAACTTCGCATAATTGAAAACTAAATCCAAAAATTCTATTTTATTAGTCTTAATCCCTTATTTAATACTATTTTCTTCTTTGTGAACAATTATTTTGGTCTATTCAAAATAATATGTTGAGTTAGTAAAAATATTAAACGTTGAAAGACGTGCACACGTACCCGTGTCTAAAATTTAGACTCTTTTTAGCAATGTCCTCATATCTTACATTTTTTAAAATAAAAGATCCGATACTTAGATATGTACCCGTACCCGATACCCATACCTCGGTCCGAGCATCATAGGCTACCACTTTAGGTTTGATTTCAGTACTCTTCGTAGGATGAAAAAGCTTAGGTTGGATAATGCTCAAAAGGGCAGAGTTAGATTGACTAATTGGAAGCTCGTTATTAATTTACTTAGGTGGGGCAGTCACTTGGATCCTAATTCCTAAATGAAGTTGCAAGATCGAACTTCAATTTTGTAAAAATAATTTTTTGGGATAATTGTAGCAGAGGCCCAAATCCTTTAAAACATTAACAGACTTTCCTCAAATCTTTGATTTGTTGGAACCGTTACCCCAAATCTTTCGAAACGTTGCGGCGGAGGTCCTTTTGGATGGTTTCCATCCACAATTTGATTAGTTGACCAAAAAATTGACTTTGACCACATTTTTAATATTTTGAAAAGTGGCAAAAGAGTAACTTTCTATTTATCACATTAAATAATTATATTTGTTTAATTAAAAAATAAAAAAGAAAACAATCCTCTACTACTCCCCACCTCCACCTCCACCTCGACCTCGACCTCAAACCCTTAGCAACCAACCATGGAGTTGAACTTCCGGCCACCGTGGCCTCTTGATTTTTGCACCACCATCATTTCCTCATCAACCACTAACATCCCCCACACAAACAGCGGCCCCAAATCACACTAAAATTGAACCAATTGCTGTCCAAAAATCGCCTCACGCGCACGATTTTCTTACAAATTCGACCAAATCCGTGGACACCCATGTTGATTGCACCTCACAGGTCGCTCAAGCTCATCAAGACGCATCTATACATGTTCCCATAACAATAAACAACAAAGAA